TGGCGAGGGAGGGGTTCAGGCATAAGCTGCCTAGTGTTTCTGTGGAAACCCACGGGCTCCCTGCTGATCACCAGAGAGGCTGCCCGGGGCCTCACTCCTCCGGCCCTGGCCGGCCCTGGGCTGGGACACTTCCTGAGCCCCAGGAAGGAGTCACATCCTGGTCTTCTGCGCCTCGCCCTGAGCCTCAGCTGTCAAGGAGGCCATGCAGGCATGTGGAAGTGTCTTCCTCCGGTGCTCACACGCGCGTGTGCACACACCCACGCACACAGACAACACACGGGCCCAGGCGGCCCCGGGCAGGCTGCAGGGTCCCAGCCCGCGTGAGAGCCCGGGCCGGGAAGGCCACTGGGCCCCAGCCGGCTCTGCAGTAGGAAGCGCTGGTGCTGATGGGGGTGAGTGGCCAGTCCACCGCCTGGACGAGGAGCTGGACCGAGACACAGCCCCGGGGCAGGACATCAACACGGCTGTGCCAGCGAGGCTCCAGGACCGAGCCCCGTGGCCCCACCTGACCGAGGAAGCAGGCCGCAGGGGTGGGCCAGCCTCGCTGGAGGGCCCAGAGAGCCAGGCGGCAGCATCCGTCTGTACCACACGGTCACACCCAGGCCCACCCAGGGCCACACGTGGGAAGGCGCACGCAGAGCCTGCTCCGAGTGAGTGAGACAGGAGCACAGACCCTGGGACGCACAGATGCACAGACAGACGCGAGCAGCACACACAGACACAGCCGGCCCAGGAGGACGCGCTCTCCTAGGAGAATGTGACACACACACCGCGATCCGACACGAGAAGACGGACACACACAGACACACAAAGCCGCAGACACGTCCACTGCGGCCGTGCCCGCCCGTCCCAGATAATTGTGCCAGAAAATAGAGCCACCTGCTCCTGGCCGAGCCGTCGCCCGGCAGCGGGGAGCCGGCTAATGAAGGCTTCACAGGCGGCTGGCATGTTCCCGGCTGCCCAGCTGCCGCTCGGCGATAGAGCGGCCGCCAGCCCAGGTGGCCTCTGTGATGGCCCCAGGGAGCCGCCTGGCCCAGTCGCTCGCCCCCTCCTCCCTCGCTGGACGCTGGATGACTGCCCCCCTTGCTGTCCTGAAGGGTCCTTCTAGGGCTGACGGCCCTCCTACGAGGATGCCGGGGGACAGCTGTCCCGGGAGACAGAGGCCTGGATCCGCAGAGGCTCCCCGGCAGTTCCCAGCTCCCCGTGTCAAGGATGCTCAAGGAGCTCAGTCAGCCGGGGACACAGTGGGTGGACGTTCCCAGCTGCCGTCTGCCTCGTCCAAGGGCTAAACTCAGTTGCTCTGACCAGAGCGCGACTCAGTTTCCCTTAGTTGCCATGCTGGGCTTGGCTCTTGGCTGTTCCCTCGCACGCGTGGACATCTCTGCCACCCTGACCCTCGTGCTCTTCTTCCTACACACAGACCTCACGCCTGCCTCAGGGCGTCTGCGCCTGCTCTGTTCTCCGTCGGAAACACCTCACCCCGTCCTTGCCTGGCTCCCTCCTTCTCGCCACGCAGGTCTCAGCTCCCACAGCGCCTCCTCCGAGAGGCCCGCCTGGATCTAGTTGAGTTAGAATATCTACTCCAAGGGGGCCCCTCAGTTATCTTCCAAGTCCTGGCTGCTTGTTAGAATCGCCCCAGGGAGCTTGAAAGATCATCCGCCTTGAAGGCCCTGTGAAGGGGCATCAAGTCAGACTCCCCGGGGTGTGGGGCCTGAGGGAGGGTGTTTGTTAAAAAACTCCCCCTGTTCCATCAGGACAGTGACTTCTTGGCCCGAGGACTTTTCAGCGGAAGAGGAGACGCTGGATTCTGCAGTCGCCTCACCCCGCCTCACGCTGCTGTTGGCGGAGCACCTGCTGTGCGCGGGGCCTGTGCACACGTGCTCCTTGTGACCTCAGCATGCGCCATGTGGCCCTTACTGGGCACCAAGTACCGGTCAGGGGCCTCCGCGTGGGGCGGCGCGTTTCACCCCAGCAGCTCTACAAAGTGAGAATGTCATCATCCCCATTTGACAGATAAGGAAATTGAGGCCCAGAGAGAGAAGCTGATCCGGAGTCAGGCAGCTCGGTAGAGGTGGATGGGGGATGGACCTGGGCAGTGGCTCCAGAACCCGCTCGTAACCCGATGCTGAGCTGCCTTTGTTTTATTTGGTCCTCACGTCGTGACACGACATTTTAAAGACATGGAAACTGTGGCTCAGAGACTCAGGAGATTTGACCGAGGTCACACAGCCAGGATTCAAACCCGCGTCAGTCTGACTAAAGCAGAGGGTGCAGATGTCCTCGTGAGCCCTCTCGTCCTTATTCCTCCACCTTCTGGAACGGCTTTAGGGGCAGCCGGGAGATGGGAGATCAGAACCAGCCTGGGTCAGCCCACCAGCTGTCCACGAGTGGATTTGATAATGGTCGTAACTGACACACGCGTGGCAGCCACTGTTTGAAGCCCTTGACGCACCTGCACTCCCATGACCCTCAAAGAGAGCCTCCTCTCCCAGAGGAAGAAACAGACGCACAGAGAGGTAAGTCTCCTGCCTGGGGTCACACAGCCCGTGAGCGCAGAGCCGAGACCTGAGCTCAGGCCAGCCGGTTCCGGAGTCTCTGCTCTCGGCCTCCGCACCACCCTCCCTCTCAGCTGCCTTGCTTCCTGAAGCTGCTTGAAACTCACTTTTCTCTCCTAGGAAATGGGTACATTAGTCCTACCTCATTCGGGAATTGGAAGACAGAACAAGAGCGTGAATGTGCAGGAAGGGACTGCGCGTCGTGGGCATTGGCTAAGGGAGGTCGTTGGGCCCTGGGGACAGAGCCATGTCCTCATCCCGCAGCGTCCGGCCTCGCATCTCACACACGGCAGCCACCGCGCTGCCATGGGACGTGGACACAGGCGGGGACCTTTGGAGGCCTCCAGCCTGGTGTTCCTCCGGAGAGGTGGAGGGCCCCGGGGCCCCTGGACCCCACGCTCAGCGTGGGCACCTTCGCGTCCCTGGCCGCCCTCCGTCAGCGTGTAATCACTGTTGCGGGCAACGAGCCGCGTCCCCCGGGGTGACATCTAGATCAGGGCAGAAGACAGCCGGGCAACAGGGAGATGGAGACGGAAGAGAGGAGGGGCTCGGGGACCAGGGGACAGGAGGGCTCCGAAGAGGAAAACCGCGTCCTCAGGTGACCTTGCCGCCTGGGTGTTCAGCTCCAGCCCTCCCTGAGTACCGTCTGCCCTGAAAAGGCCGGCGTTGGGCCCCCCAGCTCCCTCTCTCACGAGGATGTGAAAACACGTCCACGGAACCGGCAGTGCCGGGATGAAAGGCTTTTTATGAGCCTGTAATGTTCTCCGGATGCGCGTGACATCACGGAAACCCGCGACAATCATCAAAGACGTCCTGTCGGCAGGGTGTGAGGCAGCCTTCTGGCTTCCAGGCTGTGGCTGTCTCCCCGCGAGCAGACCATTTGCACGTCCCCGGGTGTGTTATTCCTCACTCCGGCCCTTCAGAGGGACCTCCAAATGCGCAGTCAGGCTGCCCAGCGTCCCTGAGCTCCGCTGCGCCCCCGGGATGCCATGGGAGGCGGTAAGGAGGGCGCCCCGCCTCGGAGGTGCCATAGTCTCTCCTGCGCTCTTCCCTCTGCTGAGGATGCTCCCTGTCTAGCCAGCCTGGCAAGTTCTTCCGGGTCCTTCAAGTTCAGCTCCAGTATCACTTCTTTGGGGAGGCCTCCCCGAGCCCTCGGCCATCCCAGCCCCGAGGAGGCCCCGCCCCTCACTCTGGGTTGTCCCAGAAGAAGCCTTGCCAGGGCTCCTCCACTCCTCTTCCCTCACGTCAGCTTCCCAACACCACCTTCGGGTCCACCCAAAGCCACTCGTGCGGTAGCACAGCGGCTCTGGAAGCGCGGCCCCTGAGCCAGCAGCGTCAGCGTCAGCATCCCCGGGACCCAGCTGGAGATGCGGATTCTTGGTCCCACCCCCCCCAGACCTACCGAATCATCTGAAACTGGGGGTCGCGCCTGGAAATCCTTCCACAATCCCTTGAGGCCACTCTGCCGCAAGTTGGAGAACCTCTGTGGTCAGAAGATGAGGGAAGCTCATGCCTAACCCGGCACAGATGACGGAAATGACGATCACAGCAGACACCGCCAGGAGGGCCGCGGGCCGGGCACCCCACCCGCGCTGATGCCCCACAGCAACCCGGGAGGAATGTATGATGCACCCGTTACACGGACGGGGAAACTGAGGCTCAGACAGTCACTCCCTTCCCTGGAAAACGAGTAAGCGACACAGCCAGCTGCCAAACCCCCCTCGCTCTGACCGCCAGGCCCATGTGTTCCCCAGGGAGTACGTCCGCGTGATTCCCGGGTTTAAAAGAGGAAAAGACCACAGCCAAGTCAGGTTTTCCCTGAATTTTCTATTTCCAGAGTACAATGTTAAAAGATTATATAGTGGATTAAAAAAACCCCACATCGTTGCTTCCTCCTCCCCACCTCGCATCTCAGCTCTCAGAAGCAACTATTTTCAATTCTTTCAGTTGCTTTTCTTGGTATTTACTTCCACATTTCAACATATTTGCATCTCATATTATCTTTTGATTCATTCGTATTAGACCCAACCCCTCAAATGATGAGGAGCGGGAATGTGGCTCACGGGCAGCCCCACCCGGGGCCGCCACACAACCCCAGCAGGCACTGGGCACATCGCAAACGTCTGTGATGCAATCCACAGTCAGGGTTTCAAAACTGTGGCCAAATAAATGTCGTGGCTGAGCCAAGTAGTATACTATCATTCATTCCTTTCTTGGACTTTTCTTTTTTTCCTAGAATAATTGTTGTGGCCTTTGTTTCTTGGCTCCTGTGATATCCTTTTTCTTAGTTTGCCTCCTTATAGAATATTCTAGAACCATCATGAGTTCCATCACACCACAGAGTGTTCTCCCTGAAAATTGCAGCATCTTCCAATAAATCCATATTATCAATTTGGATCCTATTCAACTTTAAGTATCTTACGTAAGAGAGATCTGTTTACTTACCATTTGGTTTTCCTCAAGTGACAAAAATCTAGAGGCAAATTCCGGGCAGGCGTGGAAGACCCATGACCATCAAAGACCCAAGCTCTTTCTACCTGCTTGTTTCATTACCCTTAATACAGGGCTCCCAACTCATGGTTCAGGATGGCTGCTTGAGCTCCAACCATCATGTCTGCATTCCAGCCATTACAAAGAAGGATTCCTGGACTCCACATAAAGACAGTTCCTGCAAGTTGCTATGACATTTTTGTTTACACTCTAGTGTTTATGACTTAGTCACGTGGTTACACCTAATTGAGAGGGAGGCTGGGAAATGTAGTTTTTATTGTGAGTGGCTGCAGCCCAGCAGAAAAACTGAAGCTCTGAGACAAGGCAGGACGGGAAGAACAGTAAGGGCAACCAGCAGGCTGGGCCACACTCCCTCGCGGTTGATTGTTTGGGCGGCACTCTGGCCCTCACCGCCTTGCTGCGATCCCATGGTGGCCTCGTCCTGCATCTCTGGTACTGTCTCTCCTCTCTGTGCTCTGGGCACCTGCGCTCCTTGCCTGGGGGCCGCCCTCACACTGTCCTCTGCTGACCACCTCCCTGGGAGCCCGGCCCACCCCTGATGGGAGAAGTGCTACCTGCCTTCCAGTTCCCAGACGAGATGACAGCTCCTGGGAGACCCGCCCCCCGATCCAACCCCGGCAGGGCCTGCCCGGTGCTCTGGCACCTCCTGAGCCCTCCTTAAAGTGTCCACCACTATGTCGTCAGATACTGACTTATGGAATGATGCTCGCTCACCCTCTCTCTCGCCAGACTGCATGGTCCTCACCTCCCTATCCTTCCAGAACCGACCCAAACGCCCCCTCCTCCAGGAAGTCTCCCGGTGCGCCCTCTGAGACAAGTCACCCTCCCCGAGTGCCCACAGCCCCTTGTCACGATGCTTTCTGCCACACGGCATTGACTTCAGGAGCATGTGGCAGCTCCTCTCTGAGCTCGTGAGGCCCTGGAGGACAGGACCATCACACGCCAGCGTGGGAACAACCTGGGAGAGCCTCTGATCCCACAGGAGAATCGCCGACCCGGAACCAGGACCCCGGCGTGGCCTCTGGCTCAGCCAGTCACGTCCCGCGAGGGCCTCGCTGTCCCTCTTGTGGCTCTTCCAGATCTAATGTCCTCTGGCTTGTCACCTGGCTCGGCTCGGGGCTGCTGACCCCTCCCCAGCCGGCCTCTCTCCATGGGCCGTGGGCTCCTGCTCCCTGGGCTTTGTTTTCCATCTAAAAATCAAAGGAACAGAGATGCTGGACGCCGGGCTCACAGGGAAAGCAAAACAAAACAAACCCATCAGAGTGGGGGGGGGCGGGCTTTTGTTAACTGAACAGCTGGCGCCCGAGTTCCTCATGGCAGGAAATGTGACACGGTTTGGAAGAAAATATTTTGACAAGTGTTGAGGAGGAAGGTAGGAACTCGAGGGCCCAGGGCCAGATCCTCGGAGCAAGCGAGGACCCGGCCTGGGAGGGGAGACTCTGCAAGCGGCCGGGGCATGCAGGACAGCGGGGGGTGAGGAATACCGGAGAGCAGCAGAATCAGAGCTCACATCTACGGGAGCCTTGATGGGCGCTAAGGATGGAGGTACGTTTCGTGCCTAACACATGGCGGAAATCCGGGGCTTGATAATAAAAAAGGACAGAAAGAAAAGGAAGAGGGAGAAAGGGAGAGAAGGAAAAGCACAGAACAGGAAAGACAAGAAAGAAAAGACACAGGAACCGCGTCTGGCTTCCTGAAGCTGGGGGAGCCTGTGAGGTCTATGAGTGGCTACGGAGGAGGGAGCCCAGAGAGTAAAATGGCTTAAACGAGAGTGAATGGCTTTCTTTCTTAGCGAGGAGCTGAAATGCTAAGGTGGTTCTGCTCCATGAGTTTTTCAGGCCCTCAGCGCGTGGTCCAGGAAGGCACATGCATGTCTCCGCACAGCAGCCGGCGGGAGGGGACATCGGGGAGGCGGATGTCCCTTCTGCTCACACTCCGCCATCTGTGGTCTGCTCAGCGGGCCCCCGGAGCGAGGGAGCTGGGCGGCGTAGCTGTACCCTGACGGCCGTTGGCCCGGCGAACTCGTCTATTACTCTGTGAGCCGGGAGATGGCTACTGGGGGCAGCCAGAAGTTTCTGCCACAGATGAAGATTGCGGAGCACACGGGAGAGCTCAGAAGGCTGGGAATCAGGCTGGGAAAACTGATGGGAACCGAGGGTGGCCCCAGGGCAGGACTCACAGCCACGGTCACGCTCACGGACGGGCTGGCTGGGGCACGTGGCCGCCACTCCCTCTGACAGGACTGCCCATCCGTTCCCGCATCTTTGCATGGGGACCCAGAGGGGAGATGGTCAGTTGGCGGAGGCGGGGTCCCCGGCCTGAGCCTCAGCGGCCAAGGGCTTCAGTGGAACGAGAGGGGCACGGGGTCCACCCACACCGCGCGGACGAGAATTCCACGGGAGCTGGAGGCCTGGCAGCACGCATCCCCCGAAAAGAGCCAAAAACAGATGTCCACAACGCACGGGAGTCATTTCACCCTCACGAGTACCCTTCGGAGCAGGTGGGGTGGTAACTCCCAGTTGTCAAAGTGAGAAAGGTTAAACATCCCAGTCGCTGCTGGAGGACTTCCTGCAAGCTGGACTACGCTGTGGGTACCTTACGATCGCTGGTTTTTCAGTTTGTCTGAGCTTTGGGAGCGGTGCCATCGGCAACCTCAGTTTAAGGAGGCCCCCAGAGGTGGGGGAAGATGCCCAGGGTGGCCCAGCCGGTGCGTCGCAGCAGAGCTGGGATGGGAACCCAGGCCGTCTGGCCCCGAGGCCGTGCTCACAGCCGCTCCGCTACACTCGTGACAAAGGGAAGAGGCAGCGGGCAGAGGTACGAGGCTGTGCGTTCTGAGACGAGGCCCCCGCCCCCCAGGTTTCCCCAAAGAGTTCAGTAGAAGATACTGAACGCATGAATATTTTATGTAAATGTTTGTTGTTCTTGCTGTTCTGGAAATCGAGCCAATTTCACGTCATCGGGGTCAGTGAGGCACAGAGCAGAGGCAGCACTTCCGGGAATCGGGGTCCCAGGAGAAGGGACAGCGAGGAGGGTGGGGACCCGGGCGCCCGCTGCGCCCCGCTAGGACTGGGAACAGCAGAAGTACAGGGGAGGCTTTGCGGAGTCACGGGGACTTCCCTGGGTCTTGGAACAAAGGGCATAGAGCCGAGCTCATCTGGACCTCAGAGACAGGATGGCCAGCAGCTGTCATCTGAGTCACCCGGTCTCGAAAGCCAGCAAGCCAGGGCCGCAGCCTCCACCCCCATCGGCACACGGCCGCCCGGGTCCTCGGTCCCGCTGCTGCCTGGGAGCCCAGTTCACCAATGTGGGTGTCACCTGACAGGGTCCTGACCCCCTGTTCTAACAAGGCACTCCAAGCAAGCTGCGGCCACAAAGCAGAAGGAATGAGAAAACACGTGTGCAAAATCCACCGATGGGTTATCTGTCCCCAGAGTTCACTCAGATCATCCCAGGATCTCCCCAGGTGCCGGGCGCTGGACCTCACAGGGATGTCGCTGACCTCGGAGGGAGTGGAAAGGGCTCTGGGGAGCCCGACTTCGGAGACGTTGCTCTAGCCCACCGCAAGGTCCCCCGGCCAGGCTGTGGCTGATTTAAGAGCTGGAATGTGGGAGCTGTGGGTGCTCAGAGGCCTGCCGTGCACACACACACTCACACACACACACACTCACACACACTTGACGCCCCCAGGCGTCAAGGAGGCCCAAGGTGTCACTCAACTGCTCACACCACACTGACACCACTCATCACATCCCCGGGGCTGAGGGGTCCAGGTCCTCTCAAGCCGTGGAGATCCAGCCCTCAGACTCCCAGGCCGAGGAGTTTGTTACCAGTGACAGATGTTCCTAATTGTTATCATTATTGTTGCCCAGCCATCAGCTTTTAGCCTTTCCAGCACCGTAAGTGGTATTAAGCCCTTGATGGCTGTGACCCGGGACCCCCCGCATGTGCGAGGGAGGGACCCACACCCGCCCTGCGGATGAAGAGACACGAGCTTGAAGAGATGCACTGATGCTCACACGGTCAGGGAGGGCAGGCCCGGCACGCCCCGCTCGGTGCAGGTGGAGGGCAGCAGGGCTAACAGTCACTCTTCTGGGACCCCAACAGCCGTTCCAGAGAGGCAACCTGGAGAAAAGGTCCCGTGGAGAGGGCCAGGGGTTGGCCAGCAAGGCCGTGTCCCCTAAAGTCCCCTCATCTGAGTCTCAGGAGACACACGGAGGGCTCTCGCCGGGACCCAGCACCCCAGGGGAGGAGCCCAGTGATGCCTGGAGCACGGATGGGAGCCAACCCTGGATATATCGTGATTTCTCCTCTACGCGAGAGGACCTACGATGAAGTTAAATTTACAACGAGCTGCAGTAAGAGATTAACCACAAGAGCTTAGAATAAAATAGAGCAAGTATAATAATATCCTGTAATTAAAGTTGCGTAGATCTTACAACCTCAGCACATGATCATTTTCTTCCCTTATTAAGCTGAGAAATTTCACCTTTTCACTTGACGGCTTCTCGTTGGCACATCCGAATTGCCAGCATCACTGCTCTTGAGCTTTGGGGCCATTATTAGGGAAAACAAGGGTTCCTTGAACACGAGCTCTTGACACCGTGACAGTCCTTCTGATAACTGAGACGGGTACTAACGGACCAATGGGCCGGTGGCGTGCACAGCCTGGATCCGCTGGACGAAGAGATGAGTCACGTCTCAGGCAGGACAGAGCAGGAAGGCAAGACATTTATCACGGGGCTCAGAACGGCTCGCAATTTAAAACTCATGAATTGTTTATTTCTAGAATTTTCCATTTAAGATTTTTGGACCATGGTTGATCGCGGGTAAGTGAAACCACAGAAGGTGAGACTGTGGATAAGAGGGCACTGCTGTGAGTACACAAAAAGAGAAAAGAGAGAGAGAGAAGCGTAGAAAAAAGACCATATAGAAGATGGAGAGAGGGGGAATAAAGGAGAAGAAGATTCTTTCTGGGTCTCTCCCAGCTCCGGGTGCCATGAGGTCTGACACCTGTTGGTTGCCGGGACCTCTGTACCCTCCCTGACCTTACTCGAGCTATTTCGAGTGGTTTCTATTCCTCTCAGCTGGACAATCCCTAAGAGAAAAATAGGAACCAAGAGTGGGCTTGCAATAACCAGCACTCAGAGGAAGCATGAAGCCATCTGTGGGATCAAAGAGAAGCGGGCAGCAAGGGAGACCCTGCTGTTGACTGTGCGATGGCCGGGTATCCCCCCACTGCAGTCTGCCCCTCTGCCACACGCCGCGCTGAGTCTCCCCACCAGAGCTGGAGGCTGTCTCTGCGTCCCCTGGACTCTAGGCTGAGCGTGTGACAACAGAATCTGGCGGAAGTGAGGCTGTGTGGGTCTCAGAGCTTAGGCCTCAAGAGGCCTTTCAGCTCCCATTTTTCCCTTCTCGGAACTCTGCCTTGAGCCCAGGCATGTGCGGAAGCCCCGGCCAGCTCCTGGAGGACGAGAGGCCACGGGGGGGAGGAGCGAGGCCCCGGCCCACAGCCAGCACCGCCCCCGCTGTGTGAGTGAGGCCTCGGGCCCTTCCAGCCCAGCCAATCTCCCAGCTGATGGCAGCTCTGTGAGTGAGCCCAGGACAAACAGCAGAGGGCCCCTCGGACGATCGTGAGAAATCCCAGATCGTTGTTTTTTTTAAACCACTAAGTCGGGGTGTCAGTTTTTTATACAGAATTTGATAGCAGTTACAGAAATTGGCACCCGGGACCTGGGCTGCTTTCGTACCCAAAGCTAAACCAAGCGCACTGGCTCTGGGACCCAGAAGATGGGTGGAGGCTGGAAGGGCAGAGGGACCCGTCAGTGGGAGCTGGATGAACGATGAGGAAGTTGCTGTTGGAGGCTGGAGAAAGGGTGACACGTGTTACATCGCAGCAGAACAATTGGCAAGGTTGTCACCTGTGGAAACTTGGAAGATAGAAAATTATGGATAATACTTGGAAGATACATAATTATGGATAATAAAACTTGGAAGGTAGAAATCCAAACGAATTACGGATCAGGCTCGGGTTTTCCCAAGTAAAGTGTGGAGAGAACGCACCAACTTTTAGAGAGGAATGAGCTAAAGGGAGAAGTCTTCAGTTTGCAAGCAGAATTCAGAGGCAATATGAAGCCACTAGGACACGCTGGTCTGGAAAACAACACTGTTTCTTATCCCTACTTCCTCCTCACAAAGGATTCTCAGAGTGAAAAATGGCCTTGGGGTAAAGACAGAATCCAGCGCGTGGCTGTATGATCCTTTGTTAAGGCCTCACAGTGACTTCAGGCTGGACCTCATCGGCCTTCTCAGCTGTGTACTTTAAGAATCCTATGAGTTCTGGTCTATAACAGTCTGGAGCACCCAAAGTAGAGAGAGATCTGTCTCAAAAAGAATGATGTCCTTTGGGGCATTGAGTGCCCCCAGATATGATTCATAGGAAACCGCTCGCATCTGAGAGAATTGTATTGACCGGAGTATTTCTGGTGTGGACGAACACGGACTGAAGCAATTCAAAATGAAAACAGTCCCCTAAGTTTCGCAAGCAGGAAGCAGGCCAAGAAAATGACTCAGCAGCAAATATTTCTTATGGGGAAAGAGAATCTCTAGAGAGCAGAGCCAACAGCCAGCAGGGGGAGATGACAGCTGATGGGAACAAGGGACTGAGGGCCACCCCAGCAGTCAGACAAGGTGCACGTCCTGTTTCCAGAGCAGGGGGACTCGGGACTTGTGCCTGGTCAGATTTCAGAATTGCTATGGACCAGCGGTCGCCACATGCCTGCTGTTCCTCCCTCTTTAAAAAGGAAGCGTCCATATTGTCTCGCCGTTGTACACTGGGTGTGTGAGGGTTAGGTCATTCGTCTTTGATGAACAGGAGCCATCCACATGCAGACCTGGCCTAGACCATGAGGCTCGGGGTGTCTGACACGTAATTGGTTCAGCATGTGGAGTCTTGGGAGCAGGGTACACATGGCTTCTGGCAATGAAAGTGAATCATTTGTGACCAGCTGGCGGATGCAGTCGATTTTTTAATGGCTACAAATCCTCCCATCTCAGTCTGTCTGCCCCTCCGGGACACGGCCATGCTGAGTCTCCCACGCGGAGGTGGAGCCCTTTTCTCCTCCCCCGTGAGTCTGGGCTGGCCTTGCGCCCGGCTTCCACCCGCAGAATCGGGCAGAAGTGAGGTTGCGTCACTTTCGGAGCCTAGAGCTCAAGAGACCTTTCAGCTTCTGCCTTTGCCCTCTGGGAACTCTGCCCTGAGACGCCGGGCTGTGAAGACGTCCGGGATAAAAGACCATGTGCAGAGAGCAGGACACAGCACCACAGCCACCCCGGCTGGCCCGGTCCCCGTCTGACCTTCTGGCTGGATACAGGCAAGACAAGCAGAGCAAGGGCCCAGGCGATTACGGAATCAGGCAAAGAATAAACTGCTGTCATTCTAAGCTACCGGATTCTGCCTGGCTCGTTATGCAGCAGAGCACACTAGAACAACTCCGCCATCCCAGCGGCCAGCAGTGGACGAGCCCCGGGCTGGACCGTGGCCCTGTGGAGAGGGGGCCTCGGGGAGCGTGTGGCTGCTGGATTAAGGATGTTGGGGCTGCCGATCACTCCTTCTGGTCCATGTGAAAGGGGAGAGACAAACCCTAGTCCAGATTTTCCAGCTGGAACCAGAAAATTTTTTAACCGGGGCAGTTTTGTAGCTTTTGCTTCCATGCAGCCCTCTGAGACAGCTGAGACCAAATCCAGAAAATCATCACGCACCTCGCCAAACGGCGGCGGGGGAATTTTCCACCATTCTGGCTTTCTGTGATTAAAATGAACTCATTTAATGAAAGAGACTGGCAGAGGAGGGGGAAATGGGGCATCCTAGGTAGAGAAAAAGCTTTCACCAAAAGCTCAGGGGTGTGGCGTCAAGGAGACCTGCCCTCAGACCAGTGTTAGACCAGCGGTTTCCTAAACTTCAATGTGGCTCAGAACCCCTCGAGGGCCTGTTAAAACCCAGATGGCTCAGCGTTTCTGATTTAGCAGGTCTGGGTGGTGTGGGGAGGGCAAGAATTTGGTTTTCTAACAAGTTCCCGTGTGATGCTGACACTGCTGTTCAAGCAGCTACCACACTTTGAGAACCATTGGCCCGAATTCCGCCCCCAAACAAATAGAGGACCATTTTTCTCATCTTTCAGTGGGTGTTTGGAGTGGTAGTTCAGGCCTCCACAATGCCATCAGGAACCCAGAGTTCCCATCTGTCTTCTTGGATATCTTTAGCTTGCTGGTTTTCATCCTTATGCTTGAGATCTCATGGTCACAAGATGGCTGCAATGGCTCCAGAAGTCATGTCTATATTTAAGGAAGGAAGAGGGTAGAAGTTGATCTATACACTAGTGGAGTTTAAACTCTTTATCAGGAATTCAAAGCTTTCCTTGAAAGACCGGCCCGCCTCCCACCACTGCTTGCCCTGCTCCCCTCACCAGAATGTCAGATGCACATTGTGAGCGTCTCCAGCTGTCAATTGAGCATGTCGTTTCTCCACCCCTAGAGGAGAGGCTGCAGGGAAAAGGAGGTGGGAAATGAAGCTACCGTGCCTGCCACAGAGGCGAAGCTCCCTGGCTTGTGACCAGAACGTCTGGAGGCTGGTCCTTGCCTGAATGAAGTGAGGGACATGCCAGGCACCAAGATTTATTTATGAATGAATGTGTGGAATGAATGCAAAAAGATTAATGGAATTAGACCTCCCCTGCTTGCCAGATGGGTAATCTGGAACAAGTCACCGTACCTCTCCGGATCTCTGTGTCCCTTTCTGTGAAAACATGAAATAACCACAGTGAGTTGTCGCGTGCGTTAAATGAGACATTGTATGTGACAGGGTCAGGGATGGAGCCTCTGACCACGGAAGGTGGGACGGGTCAGGAGGATGCGACTGACAACGGAGGGCTTGCCCTGGCCTGGGCTCCATGCTAAACCCTTTCTGTCTTCTTCTCATTTCCCCCCGACGACGGCATCCCCATTCTTCAGATGGGGAAATTGAGGATCAGATGAGGGTTTTCAAGTTGCCGGTTGACAAGCAGAGGGCGAGGGTTGGAAGCTGGTCTGCTGAGTTCCGAGCGGGCACCCCAGCCACTGCTCTGGGTGGCTCTGGAAGAGAAAGGACCCAGGCAGAGCCACCAGCACCCGGAGCTCCGCTGACGCCCCTCCCAGCCTGCTGCCTCTGGGTCAGGAGCTCAGCAAAGCCACGCTCACCTCTGCTGTTCCTACCCCTCAGCTGGAAGCTGCGCACAGGAGTGGGCGGGCACAGCCTCCCCAGACTGCCTCCCCCAGTGGGAGTAAGTCCTGCCAGGTCGGCAGAGTGCTTCCAATTATGCGCCATCTCCTGCCA